ACTAGCTATTTACTTTATGCTAAGCTGCTTTAGCTAAAGTAGTTATAAAGCTTATTATCTTTTTGTAAATGTTGTTTATTTTTATAAGGTTGCAAAGCTATTTAAAGTTTAAGTAATTAATAGCTAACTTAATATAGTTATAATAAAATATTTTAAATTTTTTAAGTATATTTTTATTTTTGCTATTGCAACTAGCAGTGCATAATAAAGTTATCTTAATTAAAAAAAAGCAATAGTAATATCTATTTGTAAATTTCTTAATTTTTACGTAAAATTTTATAACATTACTTAAGTTAAAAATAACTTTTTTGCAAGCTTATATTTAAGCTTATTTTTTTGCTATAAAACTATTATTGTTTTAAGCTATTAACATATAAGTATATTTAATAAATTTTTTTACAAACAGATTATATATTAGGTAATAAAACAAGTATAAAAACAAGATTTGTTAAAACAAGGTTTATTAAAGCAAAGTTTTATTTGTTTAATCTTAGCTTTAGCGTTAATTTAGTAAAGTTTATATAAAACAGGTAATATGTCTAGTTAATTAATTAAAAATATAATTGCTAGCATGCTAGCAATTATTAAATCAATTAATTAAAATATAAAGCTTTTTAGCAAAATAAAATAATCTTTAAATTGTTATAAGAAAAGTCTTTTAAAAAGGCAAGGCTTTTAGTTTAAGTATTTAAGTGTATATATTAATCTAAAGATAAAAAAGAAAAAAAAAAAAGTTTAAAGGTCTATAGAATTATTAGTTATTATATATATATATGCAAAGTAGGTCCTGCAAGGTCCTATACAGGTAGGTCTTACATAGGTCCCTTAGGGACCCTTGTAAAGGCTAGCTGTAACTATAAATATAAATAAAAAATTATATTATATTAAAAGTATTAATAAAAATAAATAAAAAATTATAATATATTATATAATATAATAAATATAAAGTTTATATTTTATTATATAATATTTTAAAAAATTTAAAAAAAGTTTAAATATATAATATAAATTAATAAAATATTTTTTTAAACTTTTAAAAATTATATATTTAAACTTTAAATATATAATTAATATATAAAATAATAATTTTTTTTATTTTTTTTATTATATAATTTAAAGCTTAAATTTTAAATATATATAAAAATTTTATAAATAAATTAATATTTATATATTTATAAACTTTTTATTAATAAATTTTTAAAAAAATTAATATATTATTTTTTTTAATTTATTAAATTTATATATTTTAAAAAGATTTTTATTTTAATATATTATTTTATTATTAAATAAAATTATAAAATTAACTTTATATATATAAATATTTTATTTATTTAATTATTAATTTTTAAATTATATATAAAATATATTATATATTTAATTATTTTTAAATATATTAAATATTTTTTTTAATTTTTAGTTTTTATTTTTATATTAAAGTTTATAATTAAAATAATATTATATATATTTATTTTATATTTTATATATTTTATTTAATTTTTTAATAATTTTTATAATATTTTTAATTATTTTATTTTTAAATTATTATTAATATATAATATATTTAATTTTTTAACTTAAAACTTATATATAATTTTATATAAAATTTTTACTTTATATTACTTTTAAAACTAGAATTTTTACTATTTTTGTTAATTTATTATATAGCTTTAAGTGCAGAATTTCTAGGAGGTCATATTGTGCCGAAAGGGACCCCGTCCCAAAAGGTGGTCAGTGCGGTTAGTGTACTGTATCTCGTCTCCTTCTGTAGCGCTACTAGTATTCAACATTTCTCGCAATTCTAGCAGAGGATGCAACTATAGCCCAATGTTAGATAGATACTTTCCATACAGGTAATTAAATAACTTAGGTGCCTCCTTACGGTATGTAAATGGAGAAACATCAAACCTCAGTTCCGTCCCAGCTTCTGTCCTGGCTTATCGTCCAGCGCTAATACCAAATCCTAGTACATAGAGTAGTACCAGCACAGTGCTGCAAGACGTTGAATCAAAACCCTTGCTTTCCCCCCTGCACGAAACCCTGTAGATCTACATTACAGACAGCAGTGTATAGGTAGAGCACATACTTTGCCAAGAGATTCTAACCCACTCTTGGTTGTTCTCAAAATATGGGATACTTAACTGAGAAGGGTACCGGACGCGCAAAACTTAGACTCCAGAAGATTATCAGGGTGCGCCAAATTTAAATACAAAGAAGATAGAGAATACCATAGACACAGACACAGACACTTCTAGTTTCACATCAGGGGGCTTACGCCTGGCCCAGGGATTCCAAGGCGCCTACCTCGGCGTGATAAGTATTGTACTCCGTACAACCAAATAATTTTATCGGACAATCGATTCCGCGCCAAGCCTTCTGCCGATACCTGACGTCATACCGCATAACCCGAAGAGACACGGAATGCATACATCCTGCACCTCCCCCCTTCTGTTCCCCCCTCAAATCTACCATGTAGCTAGATAAATGAGACGCAAGCAAAAGAACTCTCGTTGAGGGGGGGCCTTCAATGTAACGATAAATACAACTCATGTACCCTACCTACCGAGGTAGAAACCGAAATTATTACTAGTACCCAAGTAGGTAAGGAGGTTAGGTAGGTACCAGTAGGTGGCCGAAGCTGGTACGGTCTCCACGCCCCGTCTCTTCTTGGCCTGTGACTAGTTGCCCACTGAGATCTCTCCACGATCCTAACGAAGTTGGATTTGCAAAAGGCCTCTATAAAACGGACTATTGCATTTCTCTGTGGTCAGACCTGGGGCAAATATACGGAGAACACTCGACGCGCCATCTATTTCGTAGGTTGACCGCTACTAAACCGTTGCCGCCGTTGATCATGGCAGTACTCCAGGCAGTGAAGGTACCTGGACAACATGCGCCAACGAAATTTAGTTGACGTTTTTATAACTTCGTCTCTTATAGAATAAATCATGCCTTGCATCGAAGACTAAATATTCCTTGGTTAGTTGTGTTGACCCTAAAAGTTTAGTACCTTTTAAGAACCCTAGTGTACAGGATACGCTTATGTGAATTCCTCTCAAACAACTTTACTTAAGAAGGGTCATATTTCATATGAAAGCAAATGCTAACCGGGTTCTATAGAAACGCTCTTATGTCTATACAACTATGCTTAATAGACGTAACAGTATGCTAGCCAGTAAGGGGGCAGCACTATCATTTATTCACCTATTGTTGCTTATTAAATTTGCATATCGAGTCTCCTACTATTAGTTCGAGGAATACTTAAACTCATCAACTAAAAGGTTAGAATCGTCTTGTTACTGAATTTTAAATCCCGCTATAAGCAACCAACATGCCTAAGCTATGATCCAACAACAACAGAGGGCACTAATATTAGCCAATTGACAAAACTAACCTACTAAATAATTGAATACAAGTAATAACATTTTACCCATAATAGAATACGCTAGCATAATAACTAATCTATTATAAATGACGGAGAATATATTTCTAGGTCGACTGACGATGTTGTGATGTGGTATATGGGGAGAGCGAGCTGTGAAGCTGAAAGAGTGGGATCGCCCTGCTTCGACGAGTAATGTAACTGGGTAACAATCGAATAAGGCACCAAGACCATCACAAGTCTGACTACATTCATAGGCTTTCAATATGGGTCCCTTATCCTTGCGTTCTAGAACGTAGGGTTACAATGTGATCCCTGACTGTATCTTTCCCCCACGTACATTGAATAGGGGTCTGATATCTTCTGTCACTCGCCCTAATCCCGGCCACCCCCCCTTGGCTAGGGTAAACTATAATAATAAAATTTTATTCTAGAACATAAGGCTCGGGAAGTCGGATCTATATAGTTTTATACGCATATTTTTAAGCTCTCACTAGGTGTCACGGCTAACCCTGCAGTCTCGATCTCAAAAGGGGCGTTGGATGAGCTTAGACCCTTGGAGTGTCAGTTACTATTGCACATCTTTGCCGTGAACTAGGTTGAGGGATGATTGGTCCTGTCACACCTCTAGGACAAAGAGATGTTATGTATATTAGTAATAAACATTCCGCATAGATGGCATAGGCTCTCTGCGCAACAACAAGTGTTCATTACGCCCCCATACTAAGGATTATGACAAGCGCAGCCTTCCACGAGTGACACATACGAAGTTTTAAGCTGACTCATGTACCTTGCTTGCTCGTAGGTAGTGTTCTAGCATGCTACTAGCCGGCAGTCCGATTAACTTTTAGACAACTGTTAATAATTGTTGCCTTTTAGCTAGCGTCTCTCTAGCGAGAATTTCAATAGTGTCGTTTCTGGTCTTTGTAGAGGCCTCTAGGACATAGGGGTCCTATCTTAGTCCTTTTTATACTGTTTAACGTTAAAAGGCTTCATGTCTAACAGACCAAGGCCGAGTGCTCAGTGCTATTAGATCTATTAACAAGTAATTAAAACATTGTGTTCATATAGTTTTCACATGGTTTAGACGCACCGAAATACTTGCACAATTAACATAGTACCGTATCGAAAAGAATTTACCTCTATGATCTTTTTCACAAGAGTTGAAACAGATTTTAAGAGACTAAAGTATAGAAGTTCAACAGTCACTATATTCTAGCAGAGGAAAGTCTTTCCTATTCTATATTACTGAGCTCCTAAGAAACTGCTTACCTTCCACCTGGGCTTGGCTTAGTATGCGCGACTGATCATGAATTGGTGCTATCTTTACAGCAACGTCGAGGTCGCCAGCCCAGACGGTTGTCCTCATGTGAGTTACACACTTCTAACAACCACAATGGATGTCAACATCCCGGCGAAGACTTGGACCTCCGAGGATCTTTCACTCAAATAACCTTCTGGCGGATGTGGCCGGCGATTTATATACTACGAGAATCGCCATGGAATGAAAGAATTATCCTTGCTATGCTCATCGAGAACCTGTTTAACAGTCACCTTGCCGTATATAGATACTGAATAAACACCGTTTCCAAACAAGCAGCTCACACGGCTTTCGTTCAATAGTCGTATGGTCTAATGGTTATGATTTCTCGTTCACAGTACGTGTACATTGTCCCGAGAAGGTTCCGTGTTCGATCCACGGTACGACTAAATTCTTCCTTTTTGCATCTTGCGTGATGATGGCGACAGGCAGTCTCCCGTCTCCTAAACTAATGGGAGACAGTGACTTTTATCAACATAGTCTGGTGGGCGATATGCAGTTGATATGATGAATCACCTTCGTTTATTTTTCTCTAGTGGTTTCAAGTAATTCGTTCTTATACCGGCATTCCTGGCGCCGTCGAGAGCACGAGTGTTATGGGATATCGGCTTTTTGGGCAATTCGAACGCGCTATCTATCACTACCTAATATTGCATGACGGTTCTTACGGGTAAATGCACTCGTGCTTCCAATGGAGAGCGAAAGGTATATCGGTACCCGTTTGGGGGCCTTTCGGCTTAGTTAGCTTAACACCAGGCAAGGCCAGAAAATACTTTTCTTGGCGTGTTGAGAATCTCTCGCGGTGTACTAGGGAATTTTATATACTAGATAAGAAGGTAGGTAAGGAAGACGGCGGGAGCCCTTTAGTAGAAGAGAATAGTGGAAAGGCCCGGTACGGGTTGTATCTTGCCCATGCCCCTGAGCACTGGATTGGATATTACCTAGATAGTATCAATATGTATACAGGGAGATTTCTCGATATTTAAAACAGCTGACCCATATGCTATGTCTCGCATGTGTGAATAAGTATGGTGAAGGGAGACGGGAGAGGGTCGTTCTGCCTCCTGCATTGTAGATTCTATCGAGGTCTCTTGATGGTGTATGGCCCGGCGTCCCTCCATGATGGCGGATGCCTATTTTCAATTGGGGGCTAGGCAGAGTTGTTTCTATAGTGACTTGCCTACGTATTAGTCTCAATATTCGACTCACACCAATATTTCCCCCATGTCACTCTACACTTAAACATTTCACATCTTGGTATTATTAACCGATCTACACCGTTGCAGTAATGCCCACGGTCGTATTGGCGAACCCGGACTTGGCTCTTATGACGTACCTTGGAGGCACAAGCGGGGAGACATCTGGGCAATGGTAATGCTTGTTGGTGTACAGCACAAACCTAAACATGAGGCGCGATGGGTATGACATCAAAATCGAGATCAAATTGAATGATTGGACTTCAGGTAGCAAGTCAAATCATTTCGTGTTATGACATAACTAGTACTACATCGGAGAGAGTGAGGATATAATAGGGCCTCGTAGAAGTAGACTTGATTTCATGCATTCAAAATTTGGCCTTTTCTAAACCAAGTCGCATATCTGAAAGCCTCCCGTATAATACTACATCAACCCATTTGAAAACAAGCTTTATATACACAATGGATTCCGCAGGTTCAAAATCAACCATCTCCCGAGACATGCAAGAGATTACCCAAGGTAGAGAGGAAATTTCACATAAAGTACAAGGACATAAAGCAAACCTGGCAAACCCAAGTAAGGAACATGGCCCCTATCCTTTTTGGCACCCAAAATAACTATGCTAACATAGAAACCTAAAAGATACGAGCGAGGGGTCGAAAGAACGCAGTCGCCAAATTATTGATGATCTTGGTGGCAACACTGCGCACTATGGTGGCGAGGGCGAGCCGCGTTCGAAGAGTGCGGCCGAGGCTATAGATGGGAGTCGTGCGATGTCACGTTGAGACCATCCCCCATTGCATATTACGCTGGGGGCTGCCGGGTGAAATGAGTTCGAATGATTAATCGATCGCTTCTTCTAGGAAGAACGATATTCCGAATTGGAACCGAAGGCTCAATGATACAATGGATTGGAACTGCGAGTAAAATGCATGTAAAAAAGAAGTCAAAATACATACATTAGAACCCTTTTTGTTCATCGCAGAGAATACCTACCCACCTGAGGTACGGAGTATACCTACCTAGGGTTAGGCATTGGAACTTGCTAATTCTAGGCTACCTACCTATAATTAGCAAGGTAGACTGCTGAAAGCCGCTGCAACCCAACTGGCCCACCCACCTACCGACCTAGGTAGGTAACTAGTGTGTACATTAGCTCGTTGAGCTGAAAACATGCTTGTCAATAAGATAGACATCCAACAGGACATGTCTGCTCGCTTACGGTATAGTACTTAGTATATCCAGACTTGTGATGGCATCCAGACTCCCTCGTTTCCCCGGCCCATGTGTTATGCATCTTTTGTAAGCTCCATTAGCCCAGGTCTCGTCATGCGCTTGTGTCAACTCACATTACTCACCTACTCACCTACTGCGTTTGCGACCTGAGTAAAACACATGTCCTAAGCCGAATGAAGCATGGACGATGCCGCGCCCGGCATTTATACATGAGCGTGATCACTTGATGGGTCTTCGAGTTCAGCTCGCTCCTTGTGTCCAATAGAAATGGGATGGCGTATCCCGAGTGCAACATGATTGGCGCCCCTCATGCGACATGGCTTGTCCCTGTCTTCAGTGTAAGAGGGCTAGATATGAGTCTGGCCCTCAATAGTTCCTTAGCCTGATCCTGCTCTTTGGGTTCACTTGTTTCCTGGAAATATTGGGATCTCACTGCCTACCACGTTCACCCGGCATACCTACTCAGACTACCTACCCGCCTACACAGCTGGGTCCTTACATATGCATCTTGGCACTAAACGATCGCGTCTACGAGTGAATGGGTCGTTTCTCGTCACTGTCTCGACCTAAGGCTCGCTTTGTATCTGCCATCGGAGGCCCAAAATCGTGGCATAAACGCCCTTAGACGGTTAGTATACCTATTTTCACCCACGTTGAACTTACGGTGGGTAGCGACGTGTGCTGACAAGGTCACGGTAGTATTAGCCATCACCCTCCTCTAGGGGAACGAGATTTTGATTAACCACATGCCCCTCGTGGTGGCCTCGACTGGTTTTGTCTACGTCTCGTTTCCTCCAATTTCTCCCTCGGACGAGTAGCCATAATAAAGGACATGATGATGAGTCTTCCGGATGGATGGCAGTCCGATTACGATGGCACGCGGTGGCTTTTTCGACACAAGGCGATGGGGGTGGAACAATACCATTTCCCACAGCCCGGAGACGAGTGGGCGGGCTTCTTACACGATGCTGGGGCCGGACCCGTTGAGCTCACCCCAGAAGAGAGCTTAGCCATCGAGCAACGAGCCAAACGAAGAAGCATTTCAGGTTGGGAGAATGATACGAAAAGCAACACCAAATCAAGCGGGGGCAAAAGGGAGAAGAAAAAGATTGAGGATATCGAAGAGGAGAATGCTATGAGCGCTACCGGTTACTACGATCCGATGTTCTATCTGGGGGCCTACAACGACGTTAGCCCCCTGGGGGAAGATGATGGTGAAGGGATCACTCATAATAAGGCGGGAAAGGGCAGACAAACCTCGGCTCCTGATATTATCTCGGAAGCAACACCTCCTATTTCGAATAGCGAGCTGATTCTTAACCCACTCAACAGCCAGTCGCCAGGCACCTCGTTTTCAACCGCTCAGCCGTTTGCCATTGAGCTTCCTGGTGTTAGCCAACAAACATGGTCGCCCGTTGGACACGTCGCCGAGCTTGCTACACAAGAGACTGTAAAATGTGCAGAAGAGCTTGCACCGGTTGAACTAGATGCAACGTCTTTCACAGCAGTGCCGATCCGAACGAACGTAGAACCGGCCGAGCTTCCCACCCATCGATCTCCCGTAGAGGAGAAAGCTCCTAACCCAAAGCCAACAAAACCGGTAACGCAATTAGTAGATTCGTCATCGCTAACGTCTGCCTCTTTCGCTTATTCGCCGTTGAAGCCCCAAACAAAGCCCATCAATCGCCTCTCATCAAGCGCTTCAATAAGGAGAAAACCAGTTTCGTCGAGTACAGATCCAAACAAGTACCAGCCGTGGAAGCCATCACCGGGCATCATTGAGCAGCCATCTCAAGCACATCACAAACCTCCTGAACCCTTGCCACAAACATCTGTTCTTGAAAACCAGAATAGTGAGCTTGGAAATATGGAACCAAAAAACTCTCGAGATGAATCGTCAGTGCCAGGAGACGTTCCCAACGTTTTAGCACCACCATCGGCTCCTAGCAAATCTGCACCTATCGAGTCTTCTAACAACAATAATGAGGCCCCATCCGTCCCGGTAGCTCTACAACCGGCCCAACGCCCAGCAAAGGAGCCCGCGTCGCTTGAAACTATCAACCAGCAGTCCATACCCGGCGCCCAAGCGAGGCATGACAGCATCTCGGATGTAGTTGTGAGTCATGACTTATCGTATGCGCCATCTGTATTAAAACCTGGTGGCCGTCAGTCGAGTAGTAACGTTCAGGAAGGCGAAGGAAATCCAAAACCTAATCCACCGTATTCTTCCGGCCAATATCAACAGAGTGTAGCCCCTCACCGCCCTTATGAGCATGCAGTACAAGTCTCGCCTGGCCATAATGAACAGCCGAGTGTTACCAGTGTCAACACCTTCCCGAGCCTGTCGAACCATGGGATATCTGTGTATCCAGTCGAGTCCTCAAAACCCGCCTTTGAACCTTCTACGTCTCATTGTAGCCAGGTCAACTCAGAGCCATGCATTGGAGGGGATGAAAAGATCCCTATGGTTGCTCCATTGAAATTCGTTAAACGGCACTCTTCAAAGAGTTCTGAGGTGTCGTCTATTGCCCCCGAAACTCAGGACCCGGGTCTTCATCCGAGCAAGCCAACGTTGACCCAGTCTGACGAGATTTCTGCAATGATTTCCGGCATTGGTAGTTTTACACCCCAAGCTACTGCATCAGTCGTAGATATGCAACAATCTAGTGTGGTCCCTCAGATTCCCGGACAGGGGCCTCCCGCTGCCACCAGCATTTCCAATACCATTCCGGTTGCAGCAACTCCCACGACCCACACTCCTTCGATCTCGCCTCCAACTAATGTTGGGACAGCGACCACGCAAAATAGACCAAATATACACCATATTCACAATCCTCCTTCATCTGCCCAAGAGCCATTCGTCCAAAATCAGAGGCCCCCTTCATCATTGCCATCCCAGATTGGGAACCCGAGTAAGATCTCGATGTCGCCAGGGCCATTGGGGCCTCAAGGCAGT